TATATAATTTCCTAAATGTCTCAGTAAGTAACAGAATGGCTGATTATGAAATTGACGAAAAAAGGTAAAAGACTAATGAAAGAAATTAAAGGAGTGATTATGATTTCACCAGAGGCTGGTTTTAGTGGAGACTCATTAGGAATTAACTGACATTCTCAGGGAAGCCTGCCTGCGTTGGGATCCAGGAAAATGAGGTTGTTCTCAAGGAGACCCATCCAAACAGATGGGCGCTTTGGGCTTAGGGGTCTGGGTAGGCTGGAATGATGTGGGTTACTGACACAATTGTCCACTTGTCTTTGCATGTGTAGACACAGACTTTGCGTAGGCACATGGAGTGGACTGAAAGCCTGGGCACTTTGTTTGCAGCAGATGAGAACTTTCAGTGGAGAGCCTCTGATCTCCTCCTGGATGTTCTCAAAATTCAGTGTGCTTCCAAGCTCAAACCAGGCTTTCCATACAAGCTGCCTGACCATCCAGACCTTCCTGGTCAGCTCCATTTGCTACACCTACCACAACAGCAACCACACCATCCATCTGGTATCCCTGATCTGCTTGGCCTCACTCTAACATGCCTACAGTTTCCACCTTCATGTTCATGCTGTATCCTATATGTGGCACACTCCTACTCAGACTTCAAGATCTTGTTTGAGTACCACTTTCTTTTGGAAGCTTTCTCTCTTACCCAAGGCATGATTGGTAACTGTCCTTCTCCTGACTTCTAACAAAATACAGTGTGGAGAAATGGACATTCTGCGGTCAAAATGTTCTGAGCGCAAACCTGACACTTGTACCTGTTAGCTGTATGATCTTAGAGAACTAGCTCATCTTCTTGAGGCACAGTCTCCTGATACTTCAAATAAAGCTGTTAATTCCCTAAATTTCTGAGGATCATCAGTGATACTGTATTGCCAGCTTTCTTATATTTCTCTTTGTGAGCTCCTTGAAATGACAGACCTTGCGATTTTAATTACTTTGCTGTCCTACAAGGCATCTAGCACAATGCCTGCTGTTTTCTAGCATTCAATAACTTTAAATCAGTGGATAGTTCTGGAAAAATAACCCAAGCACGGTTAGGTCAATTAAAGTCTAAGTTCTATGAAGTGCTCTCTGGTCATTCCTATACACATTAATTTGAATTCTCATAGCTCTTATACGTACTACTGAGACAATTGTCACAAGCTGCTTCATCCATACTAACTGATTTTTAAGCTTCTCCAGGGCAGCAAGCATGCCTTTCCCTTTGAATTCATGTTTCACAATGTGTTAATGCCAGCTCATGATAGGTTCCTCAAATATCCCATTCTCCTTCTCATTCCAAGGAGTTTTCTACTTCAGTTTATTTTTTTAAAAGATTTTATTTATTTATTTATTGAGAGAGAGCACACACAAGCAGGGGGAGGGGCATAGGCAGAGGAATAACCAGGCTCCCTACTGAACAGGGAGCCCAGTGCAGGACATACTGAACAGGGAGCCCAGTGCAAGACTCTGTCCCAGAACCCTGGGATCATGACCTGAGAGCCGAAGGCAGATGCTTAACTGACTGAGGCACCCAGATGCCCCTTCTTCCTAAGTTTATGTTGAGTTTACCCCTAGATGCCAGACTGAGGTTTTTGAAATAATAACGAAGTTCTGTAGTCCATGTCGTTGGCTCAAGGTGAGTGGCTTTTCCTGACCCAACTTCTCAGCTCTCCCCACAGTGGTCTTTCTCTTTCTTTAGCACACTTTCTCTTCATTGTCTTTTATTTTTTACCCTAAGCAAGAGTCTTCTCATTGATGTATTGTACTCATGGGGATTTGGAAAACTTTGATTTATTATTTCTTAACTCATAGGTTCTTGGAGAATTACTTCTGGGAGGGATCTTAAAAATCATTGAACTTAGGGACCTCAAACACAGAACAATTCTCAATGTTGGTTAGGGATGAATAGTCAATCATGGCATTTTTTTTTTTCTCCTGCTGAGGTCATACATGATCTCAGAATCATTTTCAACAAAATATTCCAGGTGGAAATTATCAATCAACAAGAAACTATCAATCCATCATCTCAACCAATCCACCTTATAGGAAGTGAAATTTGCCTGATGTCGTTGCTGCAGTGCAAAGCTGTTATTTTGCCAATGAGGCCCAAAGAGCAGTCGTGAATTAATAATAAACTCAAACTAGAACCCAGCTTACTTGACCCTCATGACTGTGGTCCAGGCTTTCCCTTTCCACATGGTTACTGGTCCTCCTTCAAGTCCTGCTAATTCAAGTCCTAGAATTTATAGTCTATTTTCTTGGCATTACCTAATAGTATATGACAATATGATTAAAAAGCACAATATACATGTCTTAGCCTTATCAAAATGACATCTGAGCTCTCATAGATGTTATAAACTCTTGAAGAGAAGGGCCTTTGTTTCACTTTGCATCTTTCACAAGTTCTAGCCCTGTGTCTGGCATATGGTAGGTATTCAACAAAAATTATCTGATATATGTTCAACTACATATATGAGACAAACAGGAGCTCTATCCTTAAATTCTCACTAAGAATCAGTGAAACAGTATTTATTTGAAAGGACTCCATGCATGCTGACACATACTCTTACTTTTTTTCTTAAGAGGGACACCTTACGTCTAAATAAGTTCTCATTTCACCCGAATATTTTAGGGGAAAGTAAATGTAATGTCAATGACTGGGCTGCCCTGTGACACTTCTACTTCAAAACATGAGGAGCAGCGTTGTGATTTGGGGCTCAAAGGCCCTGAGGAATGATAGCCTTTCTTCTTTTCGTTTTTCATGGTGATATCTATTGACCATAACTCTTGTGATGCTCACAAGCCAGAGTTGTTAGGAGGAGAGAAAGATGAAGGAAAGGAGATGAAGAACAAGAGCATAGGAAGAGAGAAGGGTAGGCAGGGGGAAATATTTTACAATACAGCAATGAGATACTTGTTTTACCACTTAAAAATAGATTGTAAAAACTGCATAAGCCTCAGCTGACATCATACTTAATGGTGAAAGATAGAATGCTTTCCCGTTAAGGCCAGGAACAAGGCAAGGATGACTGACCTTGCCACATCTACTGAATATTGATCCACAGTTTCTAACCAGGGCATTCAGGCATGACAAAGAAATAAAAGTCATCCAGATTGAAAAGAGAGAGGTAAAACTCTCTTTTTATACGACATGATTTTGTATGTAGAAAGTGCTAAGGAATCTACCAAAAAAACCCACGAAAACCCCAAACCCCCCAAAAAACTTCTATCAGAATAAATAGGTTCAGCAAGGTAGGAGGATATGATTGATATACAAAATAATTACATTTCTGTACACTTGAAATGAACAAAAATGAAACTGAGAAGATAATCCACATGTAAAAAAATGAAGAAATTGGAATCCTATTTCATATCGTATACAAAACTAACTCAAAATGGATCAAACACCTAAATGTAAGAGCTAAAACTATAAAATTTTTAGAAGAATATATGGGCTTTATGAAAATGAAAAACTTTTGTGAATCAAAAACTAGCAAGAGAGTGAAAAGACAACTTACAGAATGAGAGAAAATAATTAAAAAGCATACATTTGATAAGCAATTGATTTCCAGAATATATAAGGAATTTCTGTAATTCAACAGCAACGAAAAAGCCCAATTTAAAAATGAGCAAAGGATCTGAATAGACATTTCTCCAAAGTGAATTTAGAAATGGCCAGTTAGCACATGTAAAAATGCTCAACCCTGGTAGTCATTAGAGGAATGCAAATTGCAATTACAATGAGATACCACTTTCAACCAAATAAGCAGAAAGACACACATAACAACAAGTGTCAGTGGGAATATGGAAACATTGGAACTTTTATACACTGATGTTGGGAATATAAACATGTATAACCACCTTGGAAAACAGTCAGGAAGTTCCTCAAAACATGACGCATAGAGTTATCATAAGACCTAGAAATTCTACTCTTACGTATATACCCGATGGAAGTAAGAACACTTGTCCACACAAAAATGTATACACAAATATGCACTGCAGCATTATCCATAGTAGCCAAAAAGTGGAAAGATCCTAGATGTCCATTAACAGAAGATGGATAAATTAAATGAGATGTATCCTTATAATGGGCTATTGTTTGGCAATGAAAATAAATAAAGTACTCATACATGCCATAATATCCGTGCACGTGAACATTATGTGAAGTGAAAGGAGCAGTCACAAAAGACCACATAGTATATAATTCCATTTATATAAAATATCCAGAATAGGCAAATATATAGACAAAAATAGTAGTTGCCTAGGGTTGGGGAGGGTGGAGTTGGAGGTGTGGTTGGGGGCCATGGGAAGTGATGGCTATAGGGTTTCTTTATGGGGTGGTCAATGTTCTCAAACTGATTGTAGGGATGACTGTTTGACTAAATATACTAAAACCTCTGAACACTGTACTTTAAACTAGTGAACTGTATGGTATGTGAATTTTAGCTCACTAAAGCTGTTATTAAAATAGATACATGTGCATGTAATACTTTAATTTTAGTGATTAAATTTCACTCATTAATTCTATGTCTGTCACAACAATCCATGTATTCACTTAGATGATCCATATATATATTTCCATGACAACTGTCTTAGTTTAAAATATGTTAACAGACTACACAGATTTGTGAAGAGCAGGTAGGTATCTTTTATGAGGTCCATCCTTTTAAAACATTTAATTTAAAAGAAAAAATTAAAGAAATGAAAACACTAAGCTATCTTTTCTTCAGTGTAATCCCTACATCACCTTCATCAACACATCATTTCTGTGGACCGCTGGCAGGTTTACCCTCAGTATTTAATATATTTACCACAAATCTACTTCATCAGAGATTACATTATTACTTTTAGCAGTATATTTGTAACAGTACTCTCCTGTCTGGTAGCTCTATCATTTCTTTGCTACTGAAAACCTGAATGTTAATTATAGCTAAACCCAAGGCAGTCGAGACAACTTAGTAATTCGATTATTTTGTACCTACCCCTTTTGAATCAATCACTCCAGGTTTTGCATTAAACTTCACGGTCTTCAACCGGGCACGCTCCTTTCTTTCCACCCTAAAGAAAATTGAAAATAAAGAGCTGATCGCATGGCAAGGCATTTATGAGTAAGTTCCTTACTAAATGAAGAATCTCTCTTTTCATCCTACAGCTCAAATACAATGTGTCCTAAAGTATTCCCGTTCCTTGGTTCAGTATAAAAAGTCTTGCTATGTGGTCTCTAGGAGGCTAACACATCCCTTGAAACTTCTGTGTGATGTGTATTGAGAGCCATAGTGATTGGAAGAAACAAAGAGGGAGGAAAAACTATTATTTGTTACTTAAATGCCTGAATAACTCAACCAAAAATCTGTTACAAGAAACCACAGTCTACAGAGATGAACACCTACAATGGAGACTAAATAAACTTCTTCCCTCTCCTCTGTCCCCTCTGCATACCTCATCTCTCCCACTCTTTTCTTTTGGTTTCCTTTTTCTTCCCTTCCCTTTAGTGACGTGAGGGTATTTTACCTTCACCTCAAAATCAAACAAGTTATAGGTCATCTTGAATTTTTTCCTTTTCCCCAGTGCTGTTCTCCTGTTATCTCTGCAGACTTCATCATTGTACCTGACACTTCATTCATTCATCAAACACTCATCAAGTGCCTACCATGTATCAAGCAAGGAGCCGGGGAACAAAGGAAAAAAAGAAAAAAGAAAAAGAAAAACCATGACTGCAATCAACACCCAGGAATGTGCTCCTGGTAGGAACAAAGACATAAAGAGACCAATATGCTGCACAGAAAGACTCCTGACAGCAACGGGGGGCATCTATCTCACTGGAGGCTGAGAAGGAGGGGTAGAAAGCATTGGGGTCGGCTTCCTGGAGGAGGTGTCAATTTATGTGATGCTTGAAGGACGAGAAAGAGCTTGTTGGCAGGAAAAGTTCAGGGAGAATTTCCCAGACAGGAGACACATACTATGACCCAAAGATAATAGGCAAGTGAGAGATTGTGGGAAGATTCTGCTATAGGGTATATATAGGATGGAATGTAAGAAAGTGAGGTGGTTGGGCCTCCTTATAAAAATATCCATCCACACTAAGGACTTGGGCTTTTTCCTTGGGGAATCCTCATGCATTCTGAGAGGATAGAAAGCAGAGGAGTGATCAAATGGGTTAGCACTGGAATAAATGACTGTAGTGGAGGAAGAAGACAGGTTGCTGGAGAGAAGGGACAGTGGGAAGCAGGAGTTCTGTTGAGAAGTTACTGCCACAGCCCAGGCAAGAAATGACAATGAGGTGGAAGGGAGGGATAGGCTTGAGAAACAGTAGTAAAGTAAAATTGGTAAGACGTGTGCCCATTTGAAGGCTGGGGTTAGAGGGGCGCCTGGGTGGCTCAGTGGGTTGAGGTCTCTGCCTTCGGCTCAGGTCATGATCCTGGAGTCCTGGGACTGGGTCCCACATCAGCCTCCCTTCTTGGTGGGGAGTCTGCTTCTCCTTCTGACCCTCTCCCCTCTCACGCTCTCTCTCTCTCTCTCAGATAAATAAATAAATTCTTTTTTTTAATAGATTTTATTTATTTATTTGACAGACAGAGATCACAAATAGGCAGGGAGGCAGGCAGAGAGAGAGGGGGAAGCAGGCTCCCCGCTGAGCAGAGAGCCTGATGCGGGGCTTGATCCCAGGACCCTGAGATCATGACCTGAGCCAAAGCCAGAGACCTTAACCCACCCAGGTGCCCCAAATAAATAGATTCTTTAAAAAAAAAAAAAGAGAGAGGTAAAGAGAAGCTAATTATCTCCTTGATTTCTTGTCTGCTGGAGTCTCTCCAGTGAGACATGATCACTCCTTCCTTTAAACACCACAGGACTTATTTGTATCTTCATGTTGGTATCATCTATTGTTTCCTTGTGTTTATTTTCCCAGCACACACACAAAGCTGGACGTTCCTTGAGGGCAAACCCACATGTCACTCAGCAGCATCCTGGAGCAAGTCCTCAATAAACTACTGTTCACTAAAATAATCCTTCATGCGTTGTTCTGACTTGACGGTTTGTTTAAATACGGCCAACTCGAATTTCAAAAACGGGGAAAGAAAAGAGAAGAAAAACCCCGAATCTACAGAAATTAATGGTTTATAAAATCTAAGCTATTCATAGATCAGTAATTAACAACATATTGCTTTTTAACTGAGAGCTCTTTTGTGTTCCCAGTTGAAACACAGTGCAGATCGGGGTTTCTATAGTTACAGACACAGAGTTTCAGAATATATATATATATATATATTTTTTTTTTTAAGATTTTATTTATTTGCTTGACAGACAGAGATCACAAGCAGGCAGAGAGGCAGGCAGAGAGAGAGGAGGAAGCAGGTCCCTTGCTGAGCAGAGAGCCCGATGCGGGACTCAATCCCAGGACCCTGGGATCATGACCTGAGCCGAAGGCAGCGGCTTAACCCACTGAGCCACGCAGGCGCCCCTCAGAATATATTTTGGTGCGAGAGGAGAATAGCTGAGTGGAAACAGCCAAACAAAAATGTTCATATCTTAACCCTCAGGTATTAAAGCAATATGTTCCGCTGAGAGTCTCTACATACAGCAGTTGGGAAGAGCACCAGGGAGACTTCAGGGAAGGTAAGCTGCCAAGTGGAGATGCTCACTCAGAAAATGCCTGTCCTGAGCAACTTCAGCTCTTCTCAGTCTTAATCCAAGTGCAAACGGTAATTCATATTCATCTCTTCGGATCCTTCTAACACTATTCTTACAACCCTGACTTTATCCTGGCTTCTTTGCATTAAACAGGATAATTATGGGAAACACTAGTACCTTGGACGATGCTAACATGACGCGGAGGCTCCATGGTTTTTGATCAGGCTCTACAGGAAATTCTGCGCAGACCCACAGAACTCACAGGGGTCCGAAACATATACGAGGCTGAAGTCAGGATTCTAAGAACTGTTTGGATAAAGCATTCTAATTTTTACGCCCTGGTTTCCAAGGTCACCCTTTTCAGGTTTCTTCAGAAACGTCCCTATTAGGCCATCTTTAATGATTCATCTCTTCCACCTTCACAGGGTTCCAAAGAATGTGAAGTCAGATGGACACGGACACACACACCCACCCACCCCCCACCCCACACCCCTATTATTTGCTATGGTTTATTAATCTTCAAACAGGCAGCAGAAAAGAAGCCACAATTTTTAAAGTATTACTGTAGGTGGCATGGTTTCGACTCACTCATGAACGAAGTCAGAAAGTTTTGTTTTCTCTTGGGGTTGGAAGTTTCATAAATGATAATAATGATAAAGTAAGTGTTGGCCAAAGTTTTAACATATAATTATTAGTGAAAAATTCCTGTATATTTATATCCTCTCATTTGCTTCTCACAATAACCAAGTGATGTAGGTATTACTGACCCCCATTTGATGGCTGGGAAAGCTGAGACTGGAAGCGTGCCAAGTTTAAAAAGTGGTAGAAATAGGGCCTGAACACACAGCTGCTAAAAGCTAACCTGAGTGTCTGTTCACATCTACTCAGTTTGGGAAACAGCACTCAGGATCTTCCATGTCTCTCTTCTGCAGTGGGAATTCTCAACACAAATGAGATTTTGGATGAGTCATACACAGTTTTAAGGCCAATACAATTCTTCAGAAATCTGTATTACATTTTTCACAAATGATAACCAGCCTTCTCCATTGCATCCCCATATCCCAAATGTCCTGAATTAAATAAACCATAATCAAATGCAAGCATATAATCACTTACATAACACCATACTATAACAGGCTAGGCTTTACAATTTTTTTTTTTTTTTTTTTTTTTAAGAGTGTGAGAGCCGGGGAGAGGAAAGAAGGGCAGAGGGAGAAGAAGAGAGAGAATCCTAAGTGAACTCCATGGCCAGTGTGGAGCCCGATGAAGGGCTTGATCTCATGACTCTGAGATTGTGACCTGAGCTAAAATCAAGAGTCAGACACTGAATGGACTGGGCCACCCAGGTGCCCCTGGGCTTTAAAATTTAGAATAAATTTTAATCTTGAATTAGGTTAGGTAAGTGACTATATGCAGCATTATACATATTGAATTATATCATAAATATTGAATTACTTTCTCTCCTTGGCAGTCTTTTTTGCATTCACTGTAACCCCATCATAGTTTGGCTTTCCCATCACGGGGCCCATCTGGATTAACTCTCTCAGTGATAGGTAGCTGTGGCTCATTTTCTCCTACCTACCCCAACCCCTTCCTCTCTTCTGGAGCTTCTTGGGTTGTAGGTGGATAATTTATTGCTCAAATGAGAGTCAGGGCTGGCAGTAGATAAGTCAGCGCTCTGAATAATGGTGTGTTCTTTCAAGAACTAAAAGTGCAAATGCGAAGAAAGGAAAACACCCATCATTTGAGTGTGTATGAAGTATTCGATGTTGTTCTAAGCACTTTGCCTATATTACCAATAACTGCACAGTGAGCCAGGGCTTAAGACGGAGCTGGGCATATAGCAGGAACTTCAAGAATCTTTGTTGAATAAATGAACGAACAAATGAGCAAACGCATGAATAAACCCTCAAGGAGCGTTCTTGACCTGGTTGTGAAGATTGAGGCTCAAGAGTTAACTGACTTACCCTCGAATAGTGTTTTCAATAAAAAAAATTATTTACCAATTCATGACTTTTTCACTTGATAAGAATCTACGTAAAGTTTAGCATCACCTTCTCTATTTATGTTACTAAGTAAGACTCCTTTAGCAGAAGTAGATGATATTAAAGCCCACTAACCTTTACCTAAGGGAATGGCGGACCACCTATATAGAAAGACTGAATCGAAACGAGAAGTACTGCCTTACTTCTCTCACACTCAAGAGGCAAGCAATTAATTAGATTGTTTAAGCAGAAATAATCCTCTCCACCCCAGTTTGGTCACTGACCAAAATACTGAAAATGTAAACTGGATGGCAAAATCTGAGCAATCGCTTCTGACAGTTAGCATCTCCAGGGAGTACCAAATGGTCATGCTTCCACGAGCTCAATGGTCTCCCTCTGCCCTCTCACCCACTTCCCATCTGGCATTTTCAGGTCCCGGCCAAACACACAATGAGGTCAGGCTTGGAGCACCGGATGGCAGGATAATCATTTAGTGCTGGGTGTTGCTGTGCCCGTGCTCTGCAAGGATGGAAATGCCGTCCACATGACTGGCCACAAGCTCTCTGTGAAGGTTAGGTGAGTAAACCTTCATGCAGTGCTAGCTACAAACCTGTCCTCTGAGAGCCCAGGGGACCATCAATATGGGGCGATGAATAAAGACTCAGATTAAAAGACTGTGGAACAAATCATATCTTGGCCACTCACAAAAACTATGTAGTCTCAGGAAACAGCAATTCTAAGCTAAGAGCCCAGGTTTTGAAATCATATAAGTCTGGGCTGGAATCCGGCATCTGCCACTTATCAGCTCTGTGAGTCAGGGCAGGTCATTCAGCCTCTTAGGATCTCAGGATTTATGTTGGTGAACTGAAAGTATTGGCAAACTTCAAAAAATTACAGTGAATGTTAAAGAAGATAATTCAAAAATTATTTAGCACAGTATCTGCTACATATTAAGAACTCCTAACTGACAATTCTAATGGACTCTTGGTATAGTGGAAAGCCCTGTGGTCTTGCTATCAGAGATACTTGGGTTCAGCCAGTGGTTGGTTGTGCACCTTTGGGCAAGTTACTTGACTTCTTGGACCCTCAATTTCCTTATGAGGCTTTTGTGAAGATGAAATAAAATTCTGTATTTGAAAGTACTTGCCACCATACAGGGTTGGTGCTATTATCAGATGGAATTTGTCTCCCTGTCTGCTGTCCTTTCATATCCCTTGACCCCTGCCATGGACCAAATGTGTTGGCCTTCATGAGTGGGATTAGTGCCCTTATAAGAAGAGACATGAGAAATAATCTCTTCTTTTAGCCATGTGAGGGTACAGTGAGAAAGCTATCCATGAACCAGGAGGAAGGCCCTCACTGGGAATCCAAATAACCAGTGCCTTGAATTTGGACTCTCTAGGCTTTCAGAACTATGAGAAATAAATATCTGCTGTTAAAGCATCCAGTCTATGGTTTGTTATGGCAGTCCAAGCTGACTAGGACAGCACCTTTAGTTACTGTGAGCCCTCATTAACATAATCACAGTGTGGCTGTGTCTTAGTCACACATTTAGTCCCACAAACATGTGACTCCAGCTGGGCTCCAGTGACCCAATGACAGTGCTTGGCACACAGACACTGCTCAAACCATGCTTGCTGATTTAAATTTTGCCAAGCCTTATTTTTGTAACTTGGGGAGGCAGGACGGCATGTAAGTTCAGGGTATCAATTCTGTTGGGGTGCCTGGGTAGCTCAGTTGGTTAAACATCCCACTCCTTCCTAAAAAAAAAATTTTTTTTTTTTAATTTGTCAGAATGTGTGTGTGTGAGAGAGAGAGAGAGAGAGCAAGCATGAGCAGGGGAAGGAGTGGCAGGGAGAGGGAGAAGCAGGCTCTCCACTGAGTAAGGAGCCCAAAGCCCAAAGCGGGGCTCTATTCCAGAAACCTGAGATCATGACCTGAGTTGAAGGCAGACGCTTAACTGACTGAGCCACTCAGGCGTCCCTAAGCATCCAACTCTTGCTTTTGGCTTAGGTCATGATCTCAGGGTCATGGGATTGAGGCCCACGTAGGGCTCCATGCTGGGTGTGGAGCCTGCTTAAGATTCTCCCTCTCCCTCTCCTGCTGTCTGTCCCCCCTCCTTCTTTCTCTCCCCTTCACTAAAAAAAGAAAAAGGAAAAAAAAAGAGCATCAATTCTGTAGCCTGGATTCAAATCTCAGTTCCGCTACTTACTCGTTGGGCAATTTCAGGCAATTTAATTAACCCCTCTATGCCTCAGTCTTCTGATTTGTAAAATGCACGTACTATTATAACATCTCTCAAACGGTTGTAATGAGGTTTAAATGAGTACATTGTAAAGGGCTTAGAACAGTGTCTAGCATATTCCAGGAGTGTTTTAACTAAAATTTCTTCACCATCTTCAAAAAAAGAAAGAGGATGGAAGTAATCTTCATACCCTCCATCACAGTTTCATTGGGATGATTAAATGGGATCATCCATAGAGAAGCATTTTTGTAACGGGTCAAGTCATGCCCTGATGTTATCCATTATGAGATTTTCCCAGACCAGTTCTACTAGCTGAACTGTACTCAGAAAAGGGCTAGCAAGGAATTAAAGACTGAAAAATTTAACCCCAGTCTAAAAGTAAATCCTATTTGTACCAGCTCCCACGTATTCTGAGCTAGAGTTGTAAGATGCTAAATGTAGTGTGAAATGAGAAAGCCCTGCAATAAGAACTCTTCATAGGGTAGGATTATAAATGATTTTTATTTCTTTTTTATACTTCTCAAAAATTTCCCACTTGGCCTACAATGAAATGTGCTACAGAAACATCTGAAATAATAATATTTTTTGAAAGGATTAAATTCTAAGGAGAAAAGTTGACAGAAACTCATTTATAGCCATAAACACACACACACACACACACACACACACACACACACGGATAACATTCACGAGATTAGAATGCAAATAAATATCAACATTAGAGTCACTAGACAAACTTCCTTTTTAGGCTTGTTGTAGTGTATTTGTTAACATGGTTTTTATCCAAAATAGGAAAGATAGCCAACTTAAGAAGGACCACCAGAAGGTGGAAAATTGCCTCAGGAGGAATAGCACTGAGAATGTTCCTTGTGGGGAAAATGAAGTAAAATCGAATAAATGAAGGGCTATTGACAGGGCTGGTTAGAATCACAGAACTTCTGGGTTGGAAAGGGCCTGGAAAATTGCATAGTTCAACTCTCTATCCAAAGCTTGAATCCCTTTTATTATATTTCCTGACACCAGACCTTCTGTTATCAGAATCACCCGGAGGGATTTACAAACAAGAGATTTCCAGGACCCACTCCAGATGGATGGAATTAGAGTATTTGTGTGTGTGTGTGTGTGTGTGTGTGTGTGTGTGTGTGTGCATGTGCGTGTGCATGTGCATGCCTGTGCACACATAGAGGAGAGGCTCCGAGAGGGAGGAAGCGGGCACATCTAAGCTTTTATAATGCTCCCTTGCTATGAAAACCATGGTTCTGGTTCAGTATCTTCCCACATAATCCATACCATCTCTACACAGCTCTGGCTAGTAAAAGAGTTCCTTTAAAATGAGCTGAAATCTCTTCCCACATAGCTTTCCTTCCTCCGCTTTGCTTCTATCCTTGGGGCCATATTCAGTAAGATAGCTCTTTCTTCTCAGAGCAGCCGCTCCGACAGCTCTGGTGAATTAAATCAAAGCAACCCAAAATGCATGTTGTCTTGACTCTTTTTTTTTTTTTTAAGTAAATGGAAATGGAAAAACAGAATCTAAACTAGTGCTGAGAGTCACTGCTTTGAATATATACCCTTTGAGAAAACCCCACAAGCTAGAGTACAAATCCAGAATGTCCTCTCAAAGCAATGTGAGGCAACTATTGTGGAGCCCAGAGGTTTTTAAATTTTTTATAATTTTTTTAATTAAAAGATTTTATTTATTTGTCAGTGAGAGAGACAGAGTGACAGAGAGACAGAGAACATACAAGCAGGGGCAATGGCAGGCAGAGGGAGAAGCAGGCTCCCTGCTGAGCAGGGAGTCAGACAGGACTCCGTCCCAGGACTCTGGGATCATGACCTAAGTTGAACGCAGGTGCTTAATGGACTAAGTAACCCAGCTGTCCTGAGCCCAGAAGTTTAAAGAGACCCCAAGAACCGTGTGTTGGTGGGCGATCCACCCAGGGGTACAGAGGACAGGTTCTCTCGAGTTTTGGTGGCTTCTTTGTGACTCCTCCCCACTAACCGTGAGGGAGCCGCTGTGTGACAGTCAGCCTGCTGCCCTCTCCCTGCATTCCTTCCTGGGCTGTGTGGACACAGGCAGAGAAGGATGGGGGACCAGTCTTCTCTGGGGTGCCAATGCCCCACAGAGTGATTCTTGTGGTAAGCAACACCTTCCTACTTCGGTTTGTGCTGGCTCAGTCGCTGGGTCACGGCATGAGAGCATCAGCTTCAATGAGGACTCTTCACAGAGGTATTTGGGGTGTTTGGACAGAAGAAGAAAAGCCCTTAGAGAAACCTGTAGCTTGAGAAAAGTTGGTGACTGCCTTGAATAAATGTTCTTCCTGACTTTAATTTCATAACCGTATCTTTTTCCTGGTGATACAGACAACAGTGTTTCATGGACAGTATCTTGGTGTCAAAAAGAGGCTCATAGGAAGGAAAGTTCCTCCCTGGTCATGATGACTAGAAGCTGCTGGGACGCATGAGGGAGTTGGCTTTTCCAAAGTACATTCCCACCTAGCTGAAGAAATGTTTAGAAGAGAAAGAGCATGGTACTACTCTTGACTCAGGAAACACATATAGAACTAAGTATATGACTGAGTGAAGGTGGTACTTGTGGGGTGGGGGTAGGGGGACAGGAGTCACTAAAACAGTAAAAAACAGTTATAAACCCAGTCTCAGACCTCACCATACCTTCGAGAGCTCATATCCCAAGCATCTCAGTTTGGAATGAAGGTTTTTAGTTTGTCTCCCATTAGTGTTTCAACATAATGCATGGTAGGACCTTTGCTTAGGAAATTGTACTTTACTGGGCTTTCACCTGACCTTTCTGTAAAGTTATCTGGTAAATGTGAACCTCTGGAATACAGCTGAGTGTGTAAGTCAGCATACTGACAAGATAATCTCACACATGTAGATGCTGGTAAATGGTTTAGGATGGTGGTGTAAGCAGATCCCCTTTCTTTCTTTCTGCCTTACCACAGCCACCAGTTTTGGTAAAACCTTAATATGAGAAGAGTGAGAATATTTAATTCATGTCACCTGTCACCACTGACAATTTCCTGCAGACTATCCCACTCAAATGGTTATTTTGTGAACAGTTTGCCATATCTTTTTCTTCCCTCATTTCCACTCCCCAGATTGCTTAAAAGCAAACATTCTAAAATAGAAAAGGCATTTTTACCTCCGTTTGCTGGGGATGACCCCCATCTCTTCACTGTCCCCCTCCAGCGTGACTCTCCTGGCTTGCCACCACTCGTCATCAGAGGCGTTGATAACGTGGAGAATATCTCCATATTTAAAACTAAGTCCTTGACTTGGCAGCCCACTGTCCTTGCTCTTGTCATAGTCAAACATGGCTCTGTAGAAATGGCAAGAGAGAACGTCGTTAGGAACATCTGCAGCACAGATTTCGAATTCTCCATTTTGATTACCCCATCTTGCCCTGAGCTTCCTTCATCCATTTGGTATGAGCACTGAGGACGGACTCTCAGGATTTCAGTCTACATCCCCACTACTGTGGCCACAAATCAACGTTAGTTCCTGCTTCTCCTTGGAGGCTGCAGGGGCAACCTCCGGGCTCCTAAAACTGGGGTATTTTTTCTTTTCTTGGAGGCCATCCTATGCGGCAAAGTGATAATGGGAGTTGTGGCAAAGGGAGTTTAGTACCTGAGATTTTTTTCCCTCCCACTACAAATGTTAAAAGTAACTACAAAGAAGGAAATAATGAAGAGAAACATAAGCATCTTTCTGAAAGAAGCATTTTGTGTTATGAACAAACCCTCTCAGATGTATCAGTCCATACAAGTCTTTTTTTGGAATGGGAAAAAATGGTAACAACTTAAATGTCATCCCATCGGGGTCTGTGATCCTTCCACTCACTGGACTATCGGACCGTTACTGAAGTTGAATGGTTGTAGTTCAATCCCTGTATTGTACACCTGAAACTAATATAATGCTGTATGCTCATTATACTGGAATTCAATTTTTTTTAAGAAAGAAAATGCCATTAAAACCACAAGAACATAAAAAAATAAACTGAGTGGTGGCAGAGATTAATCCAATGACATGAGTAAGTGCTCAAAATGCAATAATGAAAAAAATATAATGACACCCATGTTTACATGTGTGTCTACAGATAGATCAAGATTATATGAATAAGGGGCGCCTGGGTGGCTCAGTGGGTTAAAGCCTCTGCCTTCGGCTCAGGTCATGATCCCAGGGTCCTGTGATCGAGCCCCGCATCAGGCTCTCTGCTCAGCAGGGAGCCTGCTTCCCCCCCTCTCTCTGCCTGCCTCTCTGCCTACTTGTGATCTCTCTCTGTCAAATAAATAAATACAATCTTTAAAAAAAAAGATTATATGAATAAGACAAATCTTCTTGCTTGCACGGAATGCTAAGCCTACCTCAGCCTCGCACTCATCACTCTGAAATGTAATTCTTGTTTTATGTACCATGTTTCCTTCACTGAAGAGCACATGCTAAACCTTCGCTAAGCCAAACAGACTGTAACAGGTATACATTGGTGGGGTGGGGGAATTGCAAAAAGAACTGGAAGGATGACCAAGATCTTAGTAGCTAGGTGTTGCCTTAAGTAGCTGACAATTTGTATCAAATCTTACATTGTCTGCTTTCTCCTCTATATCCCCGCTACAAACCACCACCACACATACAGCGCGCGCGCACACACACACACACACACACACACATACACACACTCCACACATGCAATTTCTCAAGAGAAGCAGATTTAGCCACCTCCCTGCTATTTCCCCTTTGATTCCACCCTGGTAATTTCGTTCGAGTGTAACTACTATGCAAACAAAACTAGAGAGATCTGGGGAACAGGTTTTTTCTAAGATCACTGAGGACCAAATATGGTTCTTTTCCTTTCTTCATTTTTCCCCCTCATTAAAAAAATGTCACATCTGCTGCCATGGCAACCAAAAAGAGCTGAAGACAGCAGGTTGAGCTCAGATACTATAGGAAAATTTGAATTTTCAAAGCAACACAGCTCCTTCTTCCACTAACTCTGTCTCTAAATCATGGCATCGGGGGAGAGTTTCTCGGTCGAAGCTCCCGGAATGACTCACTTCCACCTTGACCACCTGCATCTTCTCCACCGAAGACTTTGGCTAAAGCTCCACCCAAGCATAAAGGGGCCTATGGAGGGCAGAGGCCCACTTCGGATGCCATCACTTCTCTGGCTGGGCGATGTGACATAAATGAATTAGCACGCCGGAGCCACAGGTTTTTGTAATGCAAAATGAGTCCAATAACTACATTCACACGGAGCTGCTGTGCACATTAATAAGACATACAAGGCTCCCAGCTCACGGGAGGTGCAGTGCAGCAGCTGGAGCGTAGGGGTTAAGAATGCGGGCTCTGAGGTCACACTGTTAAGAGTCCTTTCCTGGTTCTACTACTTCTTGCCAGTCATACAGCTCTTTATCCACACAGGCTACTTCACCTTTCTTAGGCCTCAGATTCCTCATACACACCAGCAATGATAAGAGTACCCCACCATGAAATTGCTGTATGGATGACATGTGACCTAAGGTAATACCTGTAAAATAAAGCATGCACGACAATGCCCGGCGCACAGGGATAATCATCAACTATGAACGGTCATTATCATCTTGCCTTTCCCCTGTGAGTGGATATTCACACGAATCCTTTCTATAGATTCTACTCTGTGCAAAAGAGAGTTAACACAGCAAGCTTGAGACTGCTCTCCTTAAAAAGACATGCCCACAAGGGGTGCCTGGGTGGCTCAGTGGGTTAAAGCCTCTGCCTTCGGCTCAGGTTGTGATCTCAGGGCCCTGGGATCGAGCCCCGCATCAGGCTCTCTGCTCGCAGGAGCCTGCTTCCCCCTGTCTCTCTCCCTGCCTGCCTCTCTGCCCACTTCTGGTCTCTGTCTGTCAAATAAATAAATAAAATCTTAAAAAAAAAAAAAAAAAGACATGCCCACAAGGATGGCTTTTGGCTGACATCTGGGAAATTCGATTTTTAGGAAGGTTCTCACTATTTCCTATTAGGAATGGCTTGCCACGCCTAAACTGTTTGTATAAACAAGCTTTAAGTGGAACATCTGCTTTTCCTCTGTGAGTCCGGAATCGTGGTATGGGCCAGGCAGACGGCGACTACATGATCAGCCCCCAATAAAAACCCTGGACTCTGAGTCTTTAATGAGCTTCCCCAGCAGACGACATTTTACACCTGGTGTCACAATTTGTTGCTGGAGAGATTAGGCATGTGCCATGTGACTCCACTGGGAGAAGGCTATTGGAAGCTTGTGACCAGTTTCCTCTGGATTTTGTCCCTCAATCCTTTCCCTTTGCTGATTTTGCTTCATATCCTCTCGTTGTCATAATTCATAGTCCGCAGGATGATGACGCTGAATCCTGTAAGCCCTCCTAGTGAGTCACTGACCCTGGGGGCTGTCTTGAGGGTCAAAAGATTGCAAATCATTTTCAAATATACTACCTCATTTGCACCTCAATCCATCCCAACAAAGAAGGTATGAAGGATATAGTATTATTCCGTTTTGACAGTTGAGGGACAGACTAACCGCAGCACGCAAGGGTCAGCAACCTCATTCTGGAGTTTTGGTCTTCTGCTCTGGAGGCCTAGTGCAATGCTCTTCACTTTGTCCCCCACCCCCACACCTGAGTCTGAAAGGTGGTGACAAGGTGGTAAGAACGATGACCATGAGGGCTACCACTACTTATGCTCGGATTAGGTAGCTTGGCACTTTGTACTGTTGTCTTATTTGACATTGTAAGAACCTGAAGGTAAAAATTAGTATCCTCATTTTACAGGTGAGAGAAAGAGGCTCAGGACATTAAAGCACCTGCCCCAGGTCACATGTACGCATGTGGTGGAGACCGCAGCGAGAATATACTCCAAAATCCACATTCTTGGACATTTCATCGTAAGGCTCAGTTTCCCAGCCTGTTTGTCCTCAGGCCGTGCTCACAATTCAGGAGTACTAGGAAGTCTTCACCTCCCTTCAAGGCTGACCACTCTCCCCCACCTCCTGCCCCCAAGTCCCCGAAGCTCCTTACTGCTCAGTTCTTGTCTCAGTATTTCTTTTATCTTAAGAGTCTTTGAATCTTTGGTTTAGCTCCAGGCTTCTTCTGAATGTAAAGTGTGGGGAGTGGCGGGAAAAAAAGCCATCAGGAAAGCTGGCTGGTGGTTGCCAAGAAGGCAGGGTTTAGGGTCGGACTGCCTGGGTTTGCAACTTTTTAACCATGTGATCTTAAGCAAGCTACTCAGCTTCTCTGGCCTTGAGGTTTTCTGAATTGTGAAACTGTCCTATAATAACACCAAATACTTCAAAGAGTTGTGGTGAGGATTAAATGAAATAATATACGGAAGTACTGTGACACCAGCTTGACACGGGCTAGGCTCAACAAATGGTGGCTACTATTGCTACTGTAATTGTTTTTCTGAAAATGGGCTGGTCTTGAATAGGGGATCTGGGTCCCCACTGTGCCACTTAGTAGCCGTCTTGTGGACTGTGTATAAAGACATCTACAATCCCTCTCTATCCTCTGAGTCCAGTACAGCACTGGGCACAAAGTAGATGTTCACCATGGTTCTGTGGAAATGTTTCAGACAAACTCTGAAAGCCCTGCTTCTCTCAAGCCCGTGTCCCCATGTGTAAGGGAGGGGAGGAGAGACTTTCCGGTGGTCCCCACCAAGCCAGACATTCAATCTACTGTGTTCCATTCCATTCCCAAGAATCCCTGAGGGAAGGTCCCCCCTCCTGCCTTCAGCAATAAGTGTCCCCCTCCTGCCTTCAGCGACAGGTGTCCTCAAAGAAGGGGCTTGGTAACACACGTCTACCAATTTCTATTTATCTTGGACAATCTGCCCTTCTAGGATTCCACTGATTTCAGACTTGTCAGGTCCCTGAAAACAAGCAGTTGATATATTTCAGCAGCTTCTGGCTCCTTTGGATATTAATGGATCTTCATGTCTGGGAGAAATGCTACAGTGCCCCATCACCTAATTTAAAAAACGATAAGCTGTTTTTAATTTGCTTTATGTGCTAATTCATCAGAGCAACTTTTATAAAATGCCATTAAGATTCACACTTTCCACCCAGGGTGCTTTTAACAAGTCCATTAGACAAGTAGAATTAGAGAGGAATAATGCAACATCTCTCCCATCCCTCCTGGCCCTCCTGCATTTCACCACGTGCTGGCCCTTTGCCAACTGGGGAAGTCCAGGAAGGGGAGCAAAGCAACTGCTCACCCTCATGGCTATGCAAACAGATGGGGAGATACCTGAGCGCCTGATGGAAATTGTACTGAAGTGCCCCACAATGTGCCAAAGACTTTAGAGCTATCATCT